GGAAAGTATGCAAGACAAATGCAGTTTCCGTGAACACTTACCAAAAAATTTACGCACGTGTCACAGACTCTCAAATGGTCAACTATAAGAATAGTGGCTAAAATACTCGCAAAATTGTTTCCCGAAGTGAGCTAGGGTCCTTTTATGAATACTGATCAACAGTGTAATACTCAGTTTCGTTGTTGTATGCTGATTCATGGCTAACTTGAGCTAACCCAGTAACTAGGTAATACTACAGCTCAGAGAGTGAAAAAGTAAGGAATTCAAGCGGGTCTGATGAAAGAAATAGAAAATAGCCAACTAGGAAAAGAAGCGCCGAACTGAATAGCTCCGATCGATCAGGACATGTCGTTAACCCTTTGACGACCGCCGTTGTGCGCGCACCACTCCATTTCTTTTTGAATTTTTCTTTAGTAGCCATAAATTCTTCACCAATTTCTTTACTAGTCCAGCACATTGTCTCGCCGATCAAATAATGTATGTGGGCGTTTTGAAACAAAGAAAAATGCCAAAAACCACGAAAAACGAATTGCCTCCGAGTGGAAGTGTGGCCCACCGGCGGGCCACACGGTCGTCAAAGGGTTAATGTCGCGCTTCTATTCTGTTTTATACCATGAAAAATATTTTTTAGAGCCGTTCAGATTATGTATACAGTTTGAAACATGTATGAAATACAAAAATGCCCAATAGTTTCTACTAAAAGAACGAGCAACACCGACGTACCCCTTCGCTAATGAATTTCAGCATCTGCTCCTTCTCAAACCGTTTCTTAGTTTCTTCTGTCTCTTTGAGATAGTCAAGACGACGCTTCAGTTCTGTTGCTACACTCTGCACATTCTTTCTGAAAAAATAAAACTAATTAAAATGATACCAAACACTGAACTGTTACTAGCCCAAGTCTCTTCATAGAAGGTAACAAAAGGAATCATTCTCAAAATATAATCTTTACCCCAGGAAAGACTTTCGTCAATCATCCAGTCGAACTATTATATTAAAATACTTGGATACAAAAAATTCCATAAAATAGAATGAAAAAGATTATGTGACAACATTACATTAGCGTAGTTTGCAACAACGACGCGAACAAAAACGCGCATTCTCATTCAAAAATAAAAGGTCATTCATAATGAATTGATAGAGTTTCTTAGTATATCTTCAGAAAGACTACTACTGTTCGAGAAATATCGAACCGATCAATACGTATTTCTAAAGATGCACAAGAAACAACGTGTTATAGATTGCTTTGCATGAGATGATTCTAATATTTCTGATTCTATTCTCCGCAGTGGTCCTCACTACCAAAGTCAAAACTCGGGGAGCAAGGCTCTCTTTCAGTAATAACTTTTACGCGGGAATTCCATTATTATCAGAGAAATTTGCTTGTTCCATGGGAAATCACGTCACTCAGGTGCAAGATCGTTCGTAAAAGCGCGAATGGACCGCTATGATAAATATTAATAAGTTCTCTCAGCTTCGTAATGGATTCTGACATCACTTCTGAACGAAGTTTTTAATCCATCTCAGAACTTCTATAAATAAGCGTCCTAATAACCTACGGCTAACAAAAAGTGTTCGTGTCACACGCCAACGAGATTGAAAATTTCAAATTTCAGTGTGCTAGGTATAAAAACACAAGAGCGGCAGCATGCTATTCTTGGACAGAGCTATTAACAGAGAAAAAAGGGAAATGAAGTGGATACAATCATCGTGGAGAGAACGTTTGCATTAGTGCAAATGAACAAAACAAAAATACTTTTCAAGTTGTATCAACAGGATTAAAAATGATTCAAGCCCTCACTGTAACGGAAAAAAGTCACTATGCAACTATTAGCCAGGAAAAACAAACGAGCTTCATTTTTACCTGGAACTTAGTCTAAATTGGTAATAACAATCATGAATGCGACCTCATTTTCAATGCAGGCGCCCATACTAAGCCCAGTGTATGCCAAAAATGAATGCTACATTCATGATCAAGGCTTTGAATGGTGACCTACACGTAAATTTCAGCGAACCTGATAAAAACAGTTGTTGCACCCAACTGGAACAAAATGGCACCACACTGCGGTTGCGCCAAGAATAAATTTCATTGTGTCCGTTATCAAACCATCAAATTACCTCCACAGACGATGTATTGAAAAAAATTCTTTTTAGCTCTTGGGGATGTAATACCAAGAAGTTAGCAGAAAATTTGAAAAAAAGTATGAAAACGCTTCCAGATAAAGGAAAGGCAACTCAGTGTCGCAACGTTTAAGGAGGATTGATACAATCGTGGCAATCCAACGAGACATTGCTGACAATCTACGAGAACTGTAACACTAGCTTCACCAGGCAGTGCGCCAGTTGACTGGTTCTCGGTGGAACGGCTGAAATAAAACGACAGAATCTACCTGTACGTAGCTTCAAGTTGCAACAGCATGTTCTCCTTCATGATCACGGGGAAGTTCTCCTTGACAGCGTTGAGAGATGCAGTTTCAGCAGCTGCGGTCTGAAGTGAAGAAAAAAATAGGAGGACAAAAGCAAATAGCTCTTAACAAGGAACTTGAACAAAAGACAGTCCAACCTTTCGGAACTCAACAGCGTCTTTCAGATCTTCGGCGATCAGACCCTTGAAGTAGTCCATGCGCTTTTGGTATTCCCCATACAGATAATTATCAATTCGGTCTGCAATGTTTTAATAGAGAATACGATCAGTGAGCCGTTTACAATAGCGTACACTATCCTGCGCAAGCACGTGCAATAAGGAGGAACGATAGGCACTATGATGCATAAAAACATAAGCAGACAAAGTTTGGGGAGTCATCATTTTCTCTACATGTAAATTATTAGGAAGCCACCACAGTTCAACTCTCCCAGAAAATGAATATGTTTACAAAAACGAAGTGGACCAACCGTTACTTCTGAGCTGAGAAGTTAACTCGAAGAAAGAATATTGGTTTTAAAATTGACGCGAAACGCGGTAAACCTTACTCTGTTTTCTGCATTTTTAGAATTCCCCAGAGAGGACAAATATGAAATTGATCCTCTCGTTCATAAAATAGTTGACACCACGACATATGAGGAATTTAATGATAACTCACATCCTACGGTCCTTGAAATGAGAAGGTAGAACAGAATCCAGCCAACAGTCATATGTCCCTGCTCCTCGTACACCCAGATTTCCTTGTTGACGAGGAATGCAAACAGTCCACCGAAGAACAGGTATGGTCCTTAACAGGAAAACGACGGATTTTGGTGAATTTTTTCCCAGAAAACAAAACGATGAATAAGTAGGCACTAGCACACAAACCTGATACACCGGTGATTTTGTGGAAAGGTGTGAACCACGAATCGGGCATCATCAGAAGGCGGGTTTTAGGTGGATACATTGGTCGAGCAGGATAGGGATAGTTTACCTAAACCATCATAACTCGGTGAACGCGATAGAGCTCAAAATCGTTCAGGAGGGCTGACGACGTAATCACAAAATCTCAGAAACAGAAAGTAACCCAAAAACTACTGCAGTGGCATTCGAAGAATTTTTCGGCCATTGAAGTCCAAAGTAAGCGTTCCCAGTGATGTTCCAAAGCAAACCCTCTTGACACATGAAAGTCCCGTACCATGTTAAAATACGTGAGGCACGGTACCACAAAGATAATATCTCAGAAACCAGTGCTATGCGAATAGGGTAGGCACGCAGATTCCCTAGGGTCGACGGACTACTTGAACTCAGCCCTTTAAACCGCCTCTGCGCTCTCTCGCGGGTCCCTCTCCTCTCCAAGGCTTAGTCCTAGGGCATTCACCCGTTCTCTAATCGTCTGTGCTCTAGCCATCGCGGCAGGACCATTGAGGAAAAATCAAGTAGTCCGTAAACCGATTCGTTAGTGGAAAGAGCTTTGGAGAAAATGATGTGCTTACCCACCCCGGAATTTATCCTTGTAATATAAAAATCGGCAAGCCCGGCCTACTCACACAGCACCCAGGAATTTACACAATCATGTGAAAGCACGCTGCTCTGTTCTGTTTACAGTTGTTTGAACTAACTTGATTTGTTTGCCCTCTTTGTATGCAACACCGTGCAGGCAATAATAAGTAAAAAATAATGAAAACAAATAAAATGCGCAGCAAACTGACCAAGTCTCTATCGGGATGCTCTTTGTAATCCTTTGGAACCTCGGGAAGCGGTTTTGGAGCGAACCATTCCTTATTACAGTCCGAAAAGATGGACTTCGGCGGTTTAAGCTCACCCTTCAGCGGAACTCCTTAAAAGTCATTTCTCAGAAGCAGAACCATGAGATTTCCACAGAAAAGCTAGAAAATGATGGACCTTGGAAACGGAGGGCAATTTTCTCAAAGAATCCTGGCTTATCAGCATCTTCCGTCTGAACTTCAACGTGATGGGCCGCTCCTGCCTCTGAAATGCTGTGTAGGTGAACAGCTACCCCGTCACGCGGTCGAAATTGTAAAGTAAACTAAATTCTGTGAAAAATATGCAATAAAAACATGACTTACGGGCAGTATTGTGCGTGCATCGCAATGGAATAATGACAAGGCGAGCGTTTTTACCCGCAGGCAGGATGCGGCTTAGCGACATCCCTTACTACCTGAAAGCTAGCAAATAAACTACATAAAAAATTGAAAACAGAGCACTAGTAAAAAAACCTGATAAAGTCAGGAGATCTGAATCAAAAAATTTAGATACAATTGGCAGTGGAGGGTAAATTTCCAACAGTAGTCATTCCTCCAACAAAGAAAACAATATGGGTTACAGTGGCTCCAAAATCAGTCATTTAAAATAATTTATAACTGAAATAAACCGGACCAGACGAAGAAAACCCCGTTAACTTCAAAGCAAGGATTTGCACAAGTATTCAGAACAATGGCTCACATCACCGGAAAAAATTATACTCGTTGCCAATTCACTTCCGTAATTTCATAGCTAATGCTTTAATTCTCGAAAGAAACTTATCAAAATCCACAAAATTCGGATACTCAAAAGAAAGAACAGCATCCCGTACCGCGCATAATGAACCATAAATCGCGTTACCTTCAGGGTTTTCCGCTCAGGACTCAACAGAGCGGCTCTTGACATGTGAATCGGAGCGCACTTCGTTCCATCCCACTATATTGTGAAAGATTTCCCTAATGTTGTTCTTTCGAAAAAGCGTCTTTAATGGAGATACTTGTGTATATTCCTGAGGAACTTAGCTGCTCATTCAAATAATTGGCCAGTTTGCCAAAATACGCATCGGTAGAGGTGTTCAACCATTAGGTCTCTGTGATAAAAGGTGACCTTCTTTCACAATGAGATCGAAGACTATTTGGAAGGATTTACTAGATCTTGTTCAAGAGATGAACTTGGCGAACTTGCGTGATTTTCGTGGATCTTCCAAAACCCTCCTTTCTTCAATTGGACCGTGTATCCCTTTCCCGATAGACATTTGTGATTTTAGGTGATGTCAGGTATTGTTTCAGGCAGGACCTTAGGAGATGGGTGCTGGAGACAGAGGTGTGTAGAACCTTGATGCAGGGATTGTTCTAGCCAAATGTTCTTCGGCACGTAGCCACCCTGCTAGCCACTACGAGTCACCGTCCAAAGAAGCCCGAGTACATGGGCTGCGCACCAAGGCTTCCAAAAATGTCAGGTCGGCTCGCCACGCGCGGCGATCGTCAGCTGGAGGCTGCTGGTCGAGTGTCACTGTATCAATTACGGTCGCTCAGGCCTGGGATCTTGCCAAGCAATCAAAGGGACGTTATTGACTGGTAATCGTATTCTGTTTACTATGTGTTTCGCTTTTACTCTTTCGTCTTCCCAATTCTTTTCGATTATTTGGGAATTTGTTCCGGAGAAACGAAAAAAGGAACTCTGAAGCCACTTTCCTCACTACGCTACTATCCTTTGATAATTGTTGGCGCAATGTGGCTGGGGGCAGGGTCAACCCTATCGTTGTTACTCTTTGGAAATTTTTTACGACCCCCCCCCTTCATGGGTGGATTTGATACGACCCCCCTTGTATGTGACACTTGTGTAGAGACAGTGTTTACCATCAATATTTATTTCTACGTAAGTCATCAAAGATGAAACTTTAGCAAAATCCACGACAGAAATTCATCGCTGCTTGCAAACACGAAAAAATGAGATGCATTCAAAGATATCCGTGTACTCCAAAGGGTTACCAAACTAGGAGATGAAATAAGCTGAACCAGTGACCGTAATATTGACAACATTACCTGATAAAAACTTATAAGAAGTCAGAAAAAATTATCGCTCCAATTGAAATACTGAAATCCTTCACGTTCTTCAATTGCAACACAATTTTTACACCCCTCTTTCTAAGGCTATAACTTCCTTCATATTCGAGCTTCTGCGCCGAAGTGATTTGATTTGGAAAATTCAAATTATTCTCTCTCCAACCATGGGTAAAAATTCTTCGAAAGTTAATTTAATAAAAATTTAGTACGTTGTTACTTTTTTCTGTGCAAAGCGACTTTTTGACCTTCAAACGATCATAACTTCTTTCAAAGTCATTCATTTGGGAAGCTGAACACGTATAATAAACTACAGGATTCAAGCTTTCTAACGAGCACCCAAGCGTTCCTGAAAGATCAGTAGTTCAAAAATTAGTCCCGTTGTTACTTTTTTGGGGGTTTGCGTTACTATTTTTTTGGAACCGCGACTTTTTGACCTTCAAACGATCATAACTTCCTTCAAAGTCATTCATTTGGGAAGCTGAACACGGTGTAATAAACCACAGGTTTCAAGCTTTCTAACGAGCACCCAAGCGTTCCTGAAAGATCAGCAGTTCAAAAATTAGCCCGTTGTTACTTTTTATTTTGTGGGGTATTCTTCAAGCCATTTTCTCGAAAACGCGAGTTTTCTTAGGTTTCACTGCCCGTAACTTCTTGGAAGACCAATTTTATGTTTAATTAGGATGTGCTAGAAAGCTCCGAGCATGCGCTTGCACTACATCCCTTGCCTTGGTGCGCGCCACGCCTCGGGCGCCCTTCTAATTCGCTGATTCATTTGAAAGCTCATTTAGAGGGAATCGTGGTTTATAGATGCTGTATCAGTCATCTTACGAAAACGTAACGTGCTGGCTATTATCCGATATTACCAAGAATCCCACTGTCGGCCACCGAGAGGGTACGACCCCCTCCCTCCAAGCTCAACTGAGTACGACCCCCCGTTGTTACTCGTAACAACGTAGGGTTGACCCTGCCGGGGGGGGGTGGAGTCGCGCGCCGCGACGGCAGAGTCGCGCCCTTCGAGGAGAGCTTTGCAGCTGTATGACTGTGCATGTTCAAATCGTTCCATACTACTATAATCGCGCACGATCAAACTTATTGGTAGATATTAATACTGCGAATATTTAAACCGTCCGTAGAAGGTATGACCGCGCAAATCGACCGCATTCTTGTTGTTCTAGCATTCGAATACCCTCAATCCTTCGTGATGGACGGTCAAACGGCTGCTAATCTGCTTACTCTACGTGAATTTGCACTATATTCTTCGTGGACAAAAATTGGAAACATGTCTGAGGCGGAATCCGGTTCATGGCTGGCGGATCGTGACCTTTTGTGGAGTAGTCTGATAAAAGTGTACAAATTGTGAATAGCCGCGAGGTGCTACACGGCAGTTCGGATCGGATAATCAAAATGTCAAATGAAAGTTCGAATGTTCAAAAGAAACTGCCGACGAGCAGGCGTCTCCGTGAAGATTGGGTACATCAAGAATATGTTTTTTGAAACTTTGACTTGTTCCCGCAAACAGCTGTTTCTGGCATCAGTCCTCTTCGTCAATGACATGGCAACCGTTGAAGCACGCGCGTCTGAATGTGGAGTCGATCCCGGTACAATATGTCAATGGGACCAATGGTTCCGTGATGTCATTGTAGAATCATTTACAGCGAATGAAAACTGTGCAAAAATTGGAGGCCCTGGCACCATTGTGCAAGTCGATGAGAGAATATTGTCAGAAGGAAGTACCAGCGAGGAAGATTAGTTAGGGGCGATTGCGTTCGGTGGCGGCATTGAAGAACGGCTCTAAGCGTATTTTTGTGAAATCGTTAATACACGCGACTCCGCAACTCTCGATGCGATTATGCTGAAACACATTCTCCCAGAAACAACCATTCATACGGATTCCTGGAAAGAACACAATAACCTTGAAACATCGGATTTATCCATGAAACGGTCAACCATGCTGAGAATTTTGTTGACCCGGACACTGGTGTGCACACTCAAAGAATAGAGTCTACATGGTCTCACATAAAGTGTGCCGTCAAAAAGAAAAACGGAGTGAAAGGAGCACTCTGGGATGATCACTTTCTCGAAGCGGTGTGAAAATGGCAGCACAAGGAGGCAAAGCTGTATTTTACTGTGGAAAATTGCAAGACAATATCCTTGCTCGTTAGTGACAGCGGTCAAGTTATATGTTACTTTTGGTTCCTATTTCCAACAAAATGGTAGGGATAGGGCATCTGTAGTACCAAGCTAGAAGTTGGGCAGGACACTTTGGCGAAGATGGAAAATTGTATGCACTCTTGCGAGTATTCTCCTTCCTGCAAGGCTTAGTCCCAATCCCAGCGACGAGGAAAATCTTACACAAAGAAAACAAGAGAAGGAGCCCAATGGAACCTTGAGCTTGCGCGGTCGCAGTAGTCACTGGTGCTTTCTCCGCCGAGAGGGCGCAGACGAGCAAAGATCGCGCGCGGCGACTGCCCCCCCCGAGTCACATTGCGCCGTAATTTTTATATTGTATTAAGGTAGTTATAGAGTATTTGCGGTAGTATTCCACTTCTTCCATATTCTGTTTCTCTTTGCCTGCTATGTTTTCTTCCACTGCCAGAAGAGAATTGAATAGTGAAGAGCTTCCGAGATTCAACCCTTTCCAGCTCGTCTGTGACGTGAGGAGTAGCTGTATGCAATTGTACATGAAGCAAACATTCTATGGAGCACCTATTTTTTAACCATTTCCTGACGTTTCCTTTCCTCACTTCTATCCTGTTATTTTTGCGTTCCAATTTCTGCGGTTTTTCCCTTGACTTTTGTAACAGTTGTGGATTAGAAAGAAATAATTTTATTGCATATCTATTTGTAAAACGAAACAAACATACACTAAGCACCTAGTATTCTTCCTACTATTACCTGTCAAGAACAAAATTCTTATCAGTCTATTCTTCTACGTGTATTGTGATGTAGTTTCAATCTCCTTTACGATGTCGAAGGTTTAAGAATACGTCCGTGACTAATAATGTGGGTGGGTGAGAATATGTTCGCTTCGCCGCGCCCATTGCGAATTGGCCGCACATAGAGAGGCGCGTTGCGATACCGACCTGACATTTTCGGAAGTCTTAGCCGTTACCCGAGTACATGTGCTTGTCCAATGTTAGATCACACTTGTCATGCGTTGCAGTGAGTCAACTACCAGTTTGTACCAAACGGCACTTACGGAAGGGCACTGCTCGGACTGAATAGTTTATCATTTAGGCGCTCGGTCAGCGATTTGGTACTGGTTTTCAAAAGTTCTACGGATGAGCCTCCAACCCCCACCCCTCCCGTCAGACTTGATGTAGTCAGATCAAACATCACGAG